CAGTTTCAAGTCCAGCCCTCTCACGTTTCCGGTTGCCGGTTCAACAAGGCACCCGGACAAGCGCGCCCTGTGGGGAGCGCTGGGTAGGGCCGGCCGCCGCCACCCCAGCTGCCGGCTTCGCCACGCAGAGGTTCTGCCTGGCATCCTGCGTCTCCTCTTCACTTGGGAATTTCCCCCTTCCGTGGGCAACAAAGATCAGTCTGGAAATGCAGCTCCGACTCACCTCTCCGCGGACTCAACGAGAGCTCCAATCCTGGGTTGTTCTCACAGCGCCATCTTCCACATTGAAATCACATCATTTCTTAAATAGGGAATCCTTTCCCCATTGCTTGTTTTTGTCAGATTTGTCAAAGACCAAATGGTTGTAGATGTGCGGCATTATTTCTGAGGCCTCTGTTCTGTTCTGTTCTCTTTCATTGGTCTTTATATCTGTTTTGGTGCCAATACTATGGTGTTTTGATTACTGTAAGTCTTGTAGTATACTTTGAGGTCAGATACCGTGATGCCTCCAGCTTTGTTCTTTTTGATGTGCTGCTGGATTCAGTTTGCCAGTATTTTATTGAAGATTTTTGAATTGATGTTCATCAGGATATTGACCTGAAATTTTCTTTTTTAGCTGTGTCTCTGCCAGGCTTTACTATCGGGATATATTGGCCTTATAAAATGAGTTAAGGAGGATTCCTTCTTTTTCTATTGTTTGGAATACTTTGAGAAGGAATGGTATCAGCTCTTCTTTGTACCTCTGGTAGAATTCAGCTGTGAAACCATCTAGTCCTGGACTTTTTTTGGTTGGTAGGCTATTAATTGCAGCCTCAATTTCAGAACTTGTTATTGGTCTATTTGGGGATTCGACTTTTTCCTGCTCTAGTCTTGGGAGGGTGTAAGTGTCTAGGAATATATCCAGTTCTTCTGGGTTTTCTGGTTTATTTATGTACAGGTGTTTATAGTGTTCTCTGATGGTAGTTTGTATTTCTGTGGGATCGGTGGTGATATCCCCTTTATCATTTTTTATTGCATCTATTTGATTCTTTTTTATTAGTCTGGCTAGCAGTCTATCTATTTTGGCGATCTTTTCAAAAAACCAGTTCCTGGAGTCACTGATTTTTTTTTTTAATAGGTTGGTTTTTTTTTGTCTCTATCTCCTTCAGTTCTGCTCTAATATTGTTGTTTCTTGTCTTCTCCTAGCTTTTGAATTTGTTTGATCTTGCTTCTCTAGTTTTTTCAATTGTGACGTTAGAGTGTCAATTTTAGATCTTTCCTGCTTTCTCTTGTGGGCATGTAATACTGTAAATTTCCCGCTACATACTGCTTTAAATGTGTCCCAGAGATTCTGGTACCTTGTGTCTTCGTTCTCATTGGTTTCAAAGAACATCTTTATTTCTGCCTTCACTTCATTATTTATCCAGTAGTCATTTAGGAGCAGATGTTCAGTTTCCATATAGCTCTACAGTTTTGAGTGACTTTCTTAATTCTGAGTTCCAATTTGATTGCACTGTGGTCTGGGAGACTGTTTGTTATGATTTACGTTCTTGTGCATTTTGCTGAGACTGTTTTACTTCCAATTATGTGGTCAATTTTAGAATAAGTACCATGTGGTGCTGAAAAGATTGTATTTTCTGTTGATTTGGAGTGGCGAGTTCTGTAGAGGTGTCTGTTAGGTCCACTTGGTCCAGAGCTGAGTTCAAGTCTTGGATATCCTTGTTAATTTTTTTGTCTTGTTGCTTTTTCTATTGACAGTGGGGTGTTAAAGTCTCCCATTATTATTGTATGGGAGTCTAAGTCTCTTCATAGGTCTCTAAGAACTTGCTTTATGAATCTGGGTACTCCTGTATTGGGTGCATATATATTTAGGATAGTTTGCTCTTGTTGCATTGATCCCTTTACCATTATGTAATGCCCTTCTTTATCTCTTTTGATGTTTGTTGGTTTAAAGTCTGTTTTATCAGAGACTAAGATTGCAACCCCTGCTTTATTTTGCTTTCCATTTTCTTGGTAAATCTTCCTCCATCCCTTTATTTTGAGCCCATGTGTGTCTTCGCACGTGAGATGGGTCTCCTGAATATAGCACACTGATGGGTCTTGACTCTGTCCAATTTGCCAGTCTGTGTTTCAATAGGGGCTTTGAGTCCATTTACATTTAAGGTTGATATTGTTATGTGTGAATTTGATCCTGCCATTATGATGCTATCTGGTTATTTTGCCCATTAGTTGATGCAGTTGCTTCATGGCATCAGTGGTCTTTCCAATTTGGTATGGTTTTGCAGTGGCTTGTATCAGTTGTTCTTTTCCATATTTAATGCTTCCTATGGGAGCTCTTGTAAGGCAGGCCTGGTGGTCACAAAATCTCTCAGCATTTGCTTGTCCATAAAGGATTTTCTTTCTCCTTCATTTATTAAGTTTAGTTTGGCTGGATATGAAATTCTGGGCTGAATATTCTTTTTTTTTAAGAACGTTGCATATTGTCCCCACTCTTTTCTGGCTTGTAGGGTTTCTGCCAAGAGATCCACTGTTAGTCTCATGGGCTTCCCTTTGTAGTTAACCCAACCTTTCTCTCTTGCTTTCCTTAGCATTTTTTCCTTCATTTCAGCCTTGATGAATCTGATATGTCTTGGGGTTGCTCTTCTCGAGGAATATCTCTCTGGTGTTCTCTGTATTTCCTGAATTTGAATGTTGGCATACCTTGCTAGGTTGGGGAAGTTCTCCTGGATAATATCCTGAAGAGTGTTTTCCAACTTGGTTCTTTCTCCCTGTTGCTTTCAGGTATACTGATCAAACTTAGATTTGGTCTTTTCACATAATCCCATGTTTTTTGAAGGCCTTGTTCATTTATTTTCACTCGTTTTTCTCTAATCTTGTCTTCTCAATTTATTTCATTGAGTTGATCTTCAATCTCTGATATCCTTTATTCTGCTTGATCAATTTAGCTATTGAAACTTGTATATTCTTCATGAAGTTCTTATGCTGTGTTTTTCAGCTCCATCAGGTTGTTTATGTTCTTCTCTAAACTGGTTATCCTAGTTAGCAATTCATCTAACCTTTTTTCAAGGTTCTTAGCTTCTTGCATTGGGTTAGAACATGCTCCTTTAGCTCAGAGGAGTTTGTTATTACCCGCCTTTTGAATCCTGCTTCTGTCAATTTGTCAAACTCATTCTCTGTCCATTTTTGTTCCCTTGCTGGCAAGGAGTTTTGATCACTTGGAGGAGTAGAGGCATTCTGCTTTTTGGAATTTTCAGTCTTTTTGCACTGATTTCTCCCCATCTTCATGGATTTATCTATCTTTAGTCTCTGAATGGATATCCTTTTTGTTGATGTTGAAACTATTTCATTCTGTTGTTAATTTTCCTTCCAGCAGTTAGGCCCCTCTGCTTCAGGTCTGCTGGAGTTTGCTGGATGTCCACTCCATAACCTGGTTGCCTGGGTATCGTGGGCAGAGGCCGCAGAACAGCAAATATTGCTGCCTGTTTCTTCCTCTAGTAGCTTCATCCCAGATGGTTACCCGCCAGATGCCAGCCAGAGGTCTCCTGTATGAGGTGTCTGTTGGCCCATACTGAGAGGTGCTTTCCAATCAGGATACATGGGTGTCAGGGATCCACTTGAGAAGGCAGTCTGTCTCTTATCAGAGCTCAAGCAGTGTGCTGGGAGATCTGCTGCTCTCTTCAGAGCTGCCAGGCAGGGACGTTTAAGTCTGCTGAAGCTGTGCCCACAACTGCTCCTTTTCCCAGGTGATCTGTCCCAGGAAGGTGGGGACTTTATTTGTAAGTCCCTGATGGGCTTCTGCCTTTTTTCAGAGATGTTCTGCCCAGCAAGGCGGGTATCTAGTGGCTCAGTCTGCCTGCAGCAGCCTTGCTGAGCTGTTAGGCTCTGCCCAGTTCGAACTTCTCATGGGTTTGTTTTCATGGTGAAGTTAAAACCACCTACTCTAACCTCAGCAAGGGCAGACACCCCTCCCCCAAATAAGCTCACATGTCCCAGGTAGAGCTCAGACTGCTGTGCTGGCTGTGAGAATTTCAAGCCAGTGGATCTTAGCTTGCTGGCCTCTGGGGGAGTGGGTCCCACCAAGTCAGAATACTTGGCTCCCTGGCTTCAGCCCCTTTCCAGGGCAGTGGACGTTTCTGTCTCTCTGGCATTCCAGGCACCACTGGGGTATGGAAAAACAAATGCTGCGGCTAGCTCAATGTCTGCTTAAGCAGCCACCCGATTTTGTGCAGGACCCTGGTGGTGGTGTAGGGACTACAGGGAATCTCCTGGTCTGCAAGTTACAAAGACCATGGGAAAAGCACAGTATCTGGACTGGAGTGCAAAGTGCAGACCCTAATGGCTACCCTTGGCTAGGAGAGGGAGTTCCCTGACCTCTTGCGCTTCCTGGGTTAGGTGATACCCCACACTGTGTCACCTCAGTTGAACCAGGTACCTCAGTTGGAAATGCAGAAATCACCTGCCTTTTGTGTTGATCTTGCTGGGAGCTGCACAACAGAGCTGTTTCTATTTGGCCATCTTGTCAGCAGTCTGTGTAGGATTTTTTTTTTTTCTTTTTTTTGAGATGGAGTTTCGCTGTTGTTACCCAGACTGGAGTGCAATGGCACGATCTCGGCTCACCGCAACCTCCACCTCCTGGGTTCAAGTGATTCTCCTGCCTTAGCCTCCCTAGTAGCTGGGACTACAGTCATGCACCACCATGCCCAACTAATTTATTGTATTTTTAGTAGAGATGGGGTTTCACCTTGTTGACCAGGATGGTCTCGATCTCTTGACCTCGTGATCCACCCGCCTCAGCCTCCCAAAGTGCTGGGATTACAGGCTTGAGCCACCGTGCCTGGCCGGATTTTTTTTTTTTTTAATTTGAGAGAGCTACAAAGTGCTCAAACTTACCTCAGTTTGACATTTTCAAAATAGAAATCTTTAATTTGAAAGTTTCCCAACTTGATTCATAAAAATCAATTACTTCTATCTTATTTTATAGTCATACACAGTATGTTAAAATACTTTATTTTTACTTGTAGCGTATGCAGAGAATATTTCCAAAATGGTGGGAAGAGAAAAGCACTTGAGAAAGATGAAAAAAGAGCTGTACTTGCCACTAAGACCACTCCAGCCTTAAATATGCATGAGTCTTCTAAACTTGAAGGTCATTTAACCAACCTCAGCTTTACAAACCCTGAATTTATAACTGAGTAAGTATACTTTTTCTACTTTGGTTATCCTAGATAGCTGTATTAATGTAAAATAATGCAGTAGTTCATTATAAGCAGTGAGCAGTTTACTTGCTCCTCTAGTAGTAGTAACATGATAGGCTGAGAAATGCAGATATGTAATATTATTAGATTAAAAACTAGCATAAAATTGTAAGAGCTATTTGGAAAACTAGTAGTTCTGTAGCATGTGTTTTAACTGAAAATGAAAAAGAATAGTTCATTAAATGTGATTATTATATAATTACACATTTTTACATAATTATATAATATAGCATATATGTTATGGTTATGTCATATGTGTATATATAACATGTAAAATAATTGCTATATAGTATAATTATAATGTTTGATGTAATATATAATTATTATATAACAATATGTAATTCTTATATAATTATCAAAAGAAAGAAAATAGCAAAATCCAATTAAACTGTTTAAAGTGGCTATCCACTAAGAATTTACAAATAAGGAAAAATAATTCATAATTAATATGAATTTTTTAACCATATTCAGAAATTAATAATTTCTAATATGAGCAAATTAATATGAATTATTATATTTATAGAGCCAATTGCTATTATTTTATTGTCGATAAGAAAATCTCCCTGCTAGTAAGATTATATGCACAGACACAAATTTTATTTTATAAGTCCCTGAGTATTATATTGCAATTAATTATTAGTACAGGCATCCCTCATTTATTGTGCTTCACTTTATTGTACATGGCAGATACTACATTTTTTATAAATTGAAGGTTTGTGGCAACCCTGAGTCAAGCAAGTCTTATTGGCACCATTTTCCCAATAGCATGTACTCATTTTGTGGCTCTGTGATGTGGTTTGGCTGTGTCCCCACCCCGATCTCATCTTGAGTTATAACTCAAATTATTCCCATGTGGTGTGAGAGGGACCTAATGGGAAATAATTGAATCATAGGGGCAGTTTTCCCTATACTGTTCTCATGGTAGTAAGTGTCACGCGAGCTGATGGTTTTATAAAGGCTTTATAAAACCAAGCCTTTTGCTTGGCTCTCATTCTCTCTTGCCTACCACCATGTAAGACATGCCTTCGCTTTCCACCATGATTGTGAGGCCTCCCCAGCAACATGGAGTTGCGAGTCCATTAAACCTCTTTTTCTTTATAAATTACCCACACTCAGGGATGCCTTTATCGACAGCCATAAAAATGCACTAACACACTCTGTCACATTTTAGTAGTTCTCACAATATCTCAAACTTATTCATTATTATGATGTCTGTTACGGTGATCTGTGATGAGTGATATTTGATGTTACTATTAAGATTGTTTAGGAACACCATATAAGACAATGAACTTATTCAATAAATGTTATATGTGTTCTAACTGCTCCACAGATCCACTGTTCCCCAGTCTCTCGCCCCACTCACCCTTTTCCTCCTCCCCTCTCCTCCCTCCTCTCTCCTCCTCCCCTCTCTTTCCCTCCTCTCTCTCCTCCTCCCCTCTCTCCCACTCCCCAATCCTCCCTCCCTCTTTCCCCTCACCCCTCCAGCCTCTCTATTCCATAAAATACTAGGGAAATTTGGCCAGTTAATAAACCTCAGTGGCCTTTAAGTATATCAGTAAAAAGAATCGCATGTCTCTGACTCTAAACCAAAAGCTACACATGATTAAACTTAGTGAGGAAGGCATGTCAAAAGCTGCTATAGGCTGAAAGCTAGGCCTCTTCTGCCAAAGAGTTAATGAAATTGTGAATTCAAAGGAAAGGTTATTTTTAAATATAAGAAGTACTATTCCAGTGAACACAGAAATGAGAAGAAAGTAAAACAGCTTTATTGTTGATATGCAGAAAGTTCAAGTGGTCTGGATACAAGATCAAACCAACCACAGCATTCCCTTAAACCAATACCTTATCCAGAGCAAGGGCCTAACTCTCTTCAATTCTTTGAAGACTGAGAGAGGTAAGGAAGCTTCAGAAGAAAGTTTGAAGCTAGCAGAGGTTGGTTCATGAGGTCTATGAAAGAAGCCATCTCCATGACCTAAAGTGTAAGTGAAGCAGTAAGTGATGATTTAGAAGCTGCAGCAAGTTATCCAGAAGATCTACCAAAGACCACTCTTGAAGGTGGCTACAGTAAACAACTGATTTTTAATGTAGATTTTAAAAGCATTCTATTGGGAGAAGAAGATGCTTTTTAGGACTTTCTTGGCTAGAGAGCGGAAGACAATACCTGGCTTGAGAGCTTCAAAGGCAGCCTTTCTTCTTAGAGGCCAATGCAGCTGGTGACTTTATGTTGAAGCCAGTGTTCGTTTACCATTTTAAAAATCCTAGGGCCAGTAAGAATTATGCTGAATCTACTCTGCTTGTGCTCTGTAAATGGAACAACAAAGCCTAGATGACAGCATGTCTGCTTAAGGAATAGTTTACCAAATATTTAAAGCCTACTGTTGAGACCTGCTGCTCAGAAAAAAAGATTCCTTTCAAAATATTACTGCTCTTTGATAATGTACCTGGTCACCCAAGAGCTTTGATAGAGTTGTACAAGGAGATGAATGTTGTTTTCATACCTGCTAACACAGCATCCATTCTGCAGCCTATGGGTCAAGGAGTAATTTAGACTTTCAGGTCATATATTTTTTTATTTTCGGAGACAGGGGTCTCAGTCTGTTGCTTAGGCTGTAGTGGGGTGGCATGATCACAGCTCACAGCAGCATCAGCTTCCTGGGCTCAGGTGACCCTCCCACAGTCTTTCCACCTCAGCCTCCCCACTAGCTGGCACCACAAGTATGCACCACCGTGCCCAGCTAACTTTTTTTTGTTGTTGTTGAGATAGAATCTCCATATGTTGCCCAGTCAGGTCTCAAATTTCTGGGCTCAAGCAGACCTCCCACCTTAGCCTCCCGAAATGCTAGGATTACAGGCATGAGTCATTTAGCCTGGCTCAAGTCATGTTATTTAAGAAATACATTTTGTAAGGCTGTGGCTGTCATAGCAGTTTCTCTGTTGGATCCAGGCAAAGTCCATTAAAACCTTCTTTAAAAGAATCACCATTCTAGATGCCATGAAGAACATTTGTGATTAATGGGAGCAGGTCAGAATAGTAACATGAATATGAGTTTGGAAGGGGTTTATTCCAGGCCTCATGGATGAAATAACTGTGGATGTGGTAGGGGAAGAAAAGTAATAAAACTAGAATTAGAAGTGGAGCCTGAAGATGGGACTGAATTGCTGCAATTAAAACTTGAATGGATGCAGAGTTGCTTCTTAGGGATGAACAAAGGAAGTGTTTTTTTTTGAGATGGAATCTGCTGGTAAAGATGCTGTGAACATTGTTAGAATAATAAGAATTTAGAATATTATATAAAACTTTGTTGATAAAGCAGTGGTTGGGCTTGAGAGGATTGACTCCAATTTTAAAAGGAATTATGTAAAATGCTGTCAAGCAGTATCACATGCTGATGCTGCAGACAAATCATTCATGATAGGTAGAGTCTATGGATGTGGCAAACTATAGTGTTGTCTTATTTTTAGAAATTCTGATAGCATGCCAGCTTTCATTAACTATCATGCTGATCAGCCGTCAGTATCAAGGCAAAGCTTCCACCAGTAAAAAGATTACAACTTGCTGTAGGCACAAATGATCACTAGCATTTTTAATCCATAAAGTATTTTTAAATTAAGGTATGTACGTTGTATTTTTAGACAATGCTATTGTATGCTTAATAACAGTCTAGTGGAACATAACGTTTATATGCAGTGGAAAACAGAAAATTTGTGTAACTTGCTTTATTGCTGTAGTCTGGAACCAAAGCTGTAATATCTCTGAGGTATATTGCTGTAATATTAAAATTTTCTATATCCTTTTACCCTGTTGGGTTTGTGATATCAAGTGTATTTTGTTAACTACTTGAAAATGCTAAACTTGAATAGTTTTAGAAATATTTTTGATAGACAGAAAAAATAATTATGAAAGAGACTCTTAAGCAGTTCCAAAACTATAGATATCAACAGGGATTACTTATGGTTACTCTGATTTTACATCATGTTGAAAATATCTAGTTATAAGCAATTACATTTAAAAATCAAAATATATTTGATTACTTCAGTAGCCTGTGATCCCAACTACTCGGGAGGCTAAAGCGGGATCACTTGAGCCTGGGAGGTAGAGGTTGTGAGTAGAGATCACACTACTCACTGTACTCCAGCCTGGGTGACAGAGTGAGACTCTGTCTCAAAAATATAGATATATGTTAAATATACACATACATACATATTTTATAATTGCTGCCTTAAAGTTTTTGTCTGCTGAATCCAACATTTGGGCTCACTCAGAGTCAGTTTCTGTGTACTGCTTTTTTTTCCCCTGAGTATGGACTATGCTTTTCTGGGGATTTTTTGCATGTCTCCTAATTTTTTGTTGGAAAGTGTAGAAACTCTCATTATGGATTTTTTCCCCCACGAGGGTCAGTGGTAGTAGTTGTTTATCAATAATTTCTCTAGACTTAATCTGTGGAATCTGTCTCCCTTATTAAACTTAGCTTTTTTTTTCCAGAGGTGGAAGAGTTAATTGTTTTTTATTTTTTAGGCTGATTTCCTAGGTTTTGCACCAGTACCTGCCTAATTTAGTAGGTCAGAGGTTGTACTCAAATATCTCAGACAGTAAGACTTCCACCCTCTTCCAGTAAAGCATGTCTTGATTGGGGAGTGCATTAAACATTTAGGCACTTTTCTAATCTGCCTTGCCTTTTACTTTCTTCTGGGCCCTCTTGGGTTTTCTCTGCATATTCATATAGCTCCCTATCAGCCATGGTTTGGTGGGGAGCTTATCTAACTCCTCTATACCCATCTCATTTCCAGGATCTTTGTTTAATTTCTGACTATTCCTCCATTCTGCTGCTCAACCCAATCATGACTGCAGCCTGAGACCAGCATAGCTGCTAACTTTCCATGCTTGTTTCTTCCAGGTTTGCTGTTTTTACTGACACTGCCCTGGGTAGGTTTTTTAC